TACACCTTTCGGTTTAATACACTTTTTAACACTTTGATTTAGGGGTTAAAAATATAATATAAATATAGTTAATTTAATTGGTTCTTATATTTTGTGTGCATAATTATATCATTAAATTTATTTGTTTTTAATATCAAACAAAAAAATAATTTTTTTAATGAGTGTGTTATGCAGTATGTTGAATCGGGATGTGTACCAATTACTGTCCTAATCTCAATGAATTATTTTGTTAATATAATAATGACTTTCAATGACAAGCGATCTCTGTCATTAAAAACTAGTGGGTGGTTACTATTTTTTAAATTTAAAAATCTTTTTATGTTTAATGACGGGATTACCTTCGCTAAAAACTGATTTTGTAGACATGAACAGGAAATTTTAACGATAGGTTGGTGTTGAGCTTTAATAACGGGCAAAATGCTTGTCATTGAAAACTTTTAACTACTAAGCATATAACAACAGGTCATGACAAGGCAGTCGGTTGTTATTTCCAATATAACAACTGGAATTGTTGCTATTAATGGCGGTATACTCTCATTAAAGAGTATTTTTGTTATAGTGTTGTGACTAAACAAATTATTAATAGTGTATTTAAAAATATCCATTTTGTTTGGTTTAATCATTAAGAATAGTTAATAACTATAGTTATTAATTAATAATTAATAAAATAATTAATATTTATTAGTTAATAGTTTAAAATTAATCTAAAAACTAATGTTTCTAAACACCATAATTAACTATTTAAAACAAACATACTAAAATTGTGTTGCCATAATAAAATTGTGTATGGTGATAACCACATCTGTTTTCTAACTGTCTTTAAGGAACAAATTAAAAATATGATAAATATATTTCTTGATCATAAATTTATTTATAGATATTAATACTAAAATTAATGTTAATTTGTATTTTTCATATAATTTATAATAAAAAAGTGTATTTATTGCATACAGTTGGGCATAACTAAGAGAAACCCTTGAAAGAACTTATTGGAAGTTTAAGCTTTGGGTTTATTTAACTTATGTTCTTTGATAAACATGTTAAAAGTATATTAATTACACATTTTTTCATTAATTAAAATAGGAAAATATAAAAGTTATTTTCATTTTCAATAAGAATTTACATACATGATTTTAATTGGATCATTGATAAAATTAAAGTTAATTTTTATATTTTTTTTATAACAATTAATGAGAAAAAAGTGAAATTAATACATTTATTACTTATGCTCTAAAGATACAACTTAGAAAAACCATTAAACTTTAAATTGCCAATGGGGATTGGAAAGTCAAGCTAAAAATGGAAAAAAAAAAAAGAATGAGGAGAATCTATATCTATATATTATATAAAATGTTATCCCGTACACATTAATAATTTATAAAGTGTATAAGTCTGTAAGCATGTATGTGAAAAGTATAAATACATGGATTTTTAAGAGAATACGTCTAACAACTATGATGTGAAACTAACATATCCCCTACTGTCGTTGATACTTCCAGCTTTCTTGCCTTCATTTCTACCACCAGCACCAGGACCTATGTTCATGTATTTTATAATATTATTTGGTCCGAGGTTGTTGAAAATGAAATTTGCAATTTTGCACCCTTCAAGTTACTGTTAATTAATACGTTTTGTTCTAAAGCCAGTGTTACAAGCTTCGTCCCCAGCTGGCTTTGATTTCTGTTCATGTTACCCATGGAATTGAATGAATAAAGGGCTCAATTTATAGGACAAAATTAATTATTAAGAACTAATTAAACCGTTTATGAAAGTGGTTATGATCAAATTCTCACCTTTCTTTTCTTCAAAGGAACATCTGTATCCGCTGTGTCATACCTTGACTCATAATTAGTACTTATCTTATGCCACCATGATTTCGGGCTCATTACTTTCACTTGAAAATGGCCCTCTTTATTTTCTCTAGGACAGCTTGAGTAATTTGTCCATGAGAAGTCCCCATAGCTGGAGGCACTGACCAAGAAGATGGCAAACATATTTCTGCAGAGATAACAAGTGGGTAAACATCCCCTTCACGTTTAAAAATTTCATCCGATTTAAATAAGCTGAGGTTTATGCCACCTTCAGGCTGATCGAATTTCTGAGCCCATCCTTTCTGGAACTGAAATCTTTTCGGTTCTTGAATGACAGAACCCACAGGCTTGAAGGTACAGTTGGCTTCTTCCTTGGCAACGTAAAGTATGGTGAAGCTGTCAAGAGGAAGCAATGAAAAATAACTCATCAATATATATACTGCATGCAAACTAGGGCCGGAAGAAGAAACTATGTCATCAATGTAAAAATTTAGTTACGGCATGGTATGACTTCAAATTTTTGAAAAGTAAAACTAAATTCTTTTTTTTTTTTTAAATAAAATTATGAAATCATGTATGACAAGATTCACTCTTTCCAAAATTGGGTGCAGATAGTGGTGATGCTACACGCACGACATCCCGTCATTTTCTCAACTATACAATATGATATATATTAAATTAATAGATATATAAAATAATATTATCAGATTCTTATTAAAATTATTTTTAGTTAAAATTATCATATTATGTAAAATTTAAGATAAAAATTATTAGCTTTTTTTTAAGCAAAAAACAAATTTTATTATGGGAAAAAAGTTTATTATAGTATCATATCACTCAATTTTTTTCTTTTAATTTTTGTATTTTAACATGTTTGTTTTGGAACATTTATTAAAATTTTCGATTTTCATTTTTAAACAAAAAATGGAGTCGTATAAATTTATAAAATAAAGCTAGAAATATTTGAGTTACTTCAATTTTTGTTACAAATTAATAATTCTTATCTCA